GAAGGAAGTATGATGTCATATGGTACCAGCCTATACTGAGACACCAGGAAGTATGATGTCATATGGTACCAGCCTATATATACTGAGACACCAGGAAGTTCCTTTTTATGGAGTGCCAGGTAATGTGTGTATGTTCTTACCAGGTAAGTGATCTTTCCCATCTTTGATGGTTGGTAGTTCTCTGACAATATCTAAATCATCTTTGTTTCTTGATAACCATCTATCAAACTTGTAGAGATAGTCTTCTTTGGATGAGTTGTCTCGCATTTTAATCTAGGAACGATTATGAGCGAAAAACAATTCTTAATATCACATAAAATAGGCAGAAATGTTCTGCAGGGGAACATTGGCAAATACTTCACACATAACAAATTAGTTTCATTGCATAGACCCAGTCAGACATCAAGTTTAAGAAATATTATATTAAATATATGATGTTTAAACATGACGAGCCAGGGCATGTGATAAACATGGTTCCAGAACAGAATTTAATGCGGCCATTCAGACATGTTAAATCTGATCAGAAAAACAAATCAAAGAAAAAACTCCTGTGTGCTGAGAGTATTTAAGACACATTAAAAGTTAATTAAAAATTACTTGTACATGAGATATTGATGGAAAAGCTGAAAACTAATTATGTAAATTAGGTAACTAATATGAAGAGAACAGAACAAAAAAAATATGAATTATTATGCTAATTAGAAAATTAATATGAACAAATTTTAACCCAAAATTAATCAGGCCTGTCTATTGTTCTAGAGCATTTATGTACCAAATTTCATTCAAATGTTGATAATTGAGATATCAGTGTTAATTAATTATGTTAATTAGGTGATTAATAAGCATAAAATTTACCAAAAACTAATTGGGTCTCTGCATCTCTTTAAAAGTTTCATATATATATATGGAACATTATGCAAAATTTGGTAATTAATATCCAATTAAAACTAATCAGGTCTCTGCATAGTCCTGCATAGTCTATGTAGCAAGTCTCATTGAAATATGATGATTAGTAGTTGAGATATCAGGCAAAATATCAAAAGCTGAAAATTAATTAATTATGCAAATTAGGTAATTAATATGTACTGATATTACCCTAAAAACCATCAGGTCTGTGCAGTGTCCTATGACATCCATGTACCAAGTGTCATTGAAATGTGATGATTACTACTTGTAATATCAAAAGCTGAAAATTAATTAATTATGCAAATTAGGTAATTAATATGTACTAATATTTCCCTAAAAACTATCAGGTCTGTGCAGTGTCCTATGACATCCATGTACCAAATTTCATTGAAATGTGATGGTTACTACTTGAAATATCAAAAGCTGAAAATTAAAATTAATTAATTATGCAAATTAGGTAATTAATATGTGCTCATATTACCCTAAAAATTATCAGGTCTGTGCAGTGTCCTATGACATCTATGTACCAAGTGTCATTGAAATGTGATGATTAGTACTTGAGATATCAGTGGGAAAGTCGAAAATTGATTAACCATTATGCAAATTAGGTAATTAATATTGCACAGATTTTTACCCAAAACTGATCAAATCTG